TTCTTAAATCACTCCAACGTATCAACTTCAAATTTAATTAATGCAACTGTTTTGTGTAAGGATGCTGAAAATATGGCATGAGAAAATAGCTGATTAAAGAGAAACTTGCCTGTATTTCATTAATAACAGCACAATGGTAATGGGAGGTTACATCAGCCATCTCCACTGTGACAGCTTTGTGCCTTGCACCATCAACTTCGTCTCTCTCTTGTCCAGTAATTAGATCACAAGGATTTTTTGCCTTGTTCATTCGTTTTGCCACTTCCCACGCTAACAATCTTAAAGGACCACAATATATACCTGCAGAGAGCCAGAGCCCATAACAAAGGGGAGTTGGGGACGAGTCAACCATTTCTTTGGGTTGGGGCTATGCCATTTTGTAAGGAAATTTTTGTTTGGGTTTGAGCTGGGTTTAGAACTTTGGCAACTTGTCTCAACTCAACCATTTCTTCCGTTGGGTTGGGCTAGATTTGTCCTGCATTTTGTTCCTGTGTAATTGTGTCTTTGATTCAACCTCTAATTTTCGTTATCCGCTTCTGGTTTAGGGTCAAATATGGTACGAAATCACCAAATCTTGAAGCTCATCTCCACTTTCCGACCACAAAGATCTGCAAGCAACAATGCAAGGCGCTACATCCCCTTCAACCCTCTATGGACCAATGCAGAATCATTGCCTTCGGCTAACTCATCCTCTACCGCCCACTTATCCCTCTTCCGGACTTGGGTCAATAGCCAGAAGCCGGAAGTACCCACCCAGATGAAGATTTCGTGATCCCTTCACTTTCTAGTTGGATTGAGAGCCAGACCAGCTAGGTTATGCAATTCCCAAATGGCGAACCTGATTCTGATGTTGATCGAGTTTGCGAAATCCTTAAGAAAGAGTATTCATGGTATAATAAAGTTGTTGAAACGCTAAATTGGTGCGAGGTAAGTGTGTTAAACAGCTTAATAGAGAAGCTTTTGAAGATATTTGATAATGATTGGATCCCATCTTGGGCGGTTTTCATTTGGATAAAATTACAAACAGGTTATGAGCCTACCACTGAGGGAATGGCCCCCTATCAGTCAACATACAGAGTGCTGGTAAAGGAACGTGGTTGAGAATTCAAGCTAGAGCGTGTAGATAACTTTCTTGCGTTTGGCTTCGCCAGCAGCCTATCCTCTCTAGGAATTCAAATATAGAGGCCCAGCACCTTCAGTTGTCCCAAAGAAAAGATGAGGTTTTAGCAGCGTCAAGGTTTTATTGAGTTGTAAGAAACATTACACAGAATCAGCAAATAGAGTTAGAAGTGAACACATGAAACATCACAACTCAGGGAAGATGGGATCAACAAAAGCATCATGCATTGGATCTGACCGCCAGAGTTTAGCTATGTGATGGAAAGATGTGTTGTGCCGATGGGTTTCTTCAATCAGCCAGATGGTTGCTTCAGCTTTACAAGGATGAACAATGATATCCAGAGGCGTGTCTTTATCCTCACTTCCAAATCTCAGTTGGTCCCACTGTTTTAGGAGAATGTTGTGGAGGTAATGCAAGGGTTGGCCATATAATTGCTTGATCAATCTACCTAATCCCATCCATGATGTAAAT